TACACTGAAAAAAAATCTGGTAGATTCAACCAGTCGTCTGTTAGAAAATGGACGAATCAGGATTCCCTTTAGGATTTACCAGATTTGTAGTGAAGTTTACCAAACTTCTGGTCATGAAATATCTTTAATGGTAAATCCCAAAGGAATTCTGATTCGTCCATTTTCTAACAGACGACTGGTTGAATCTACCAGATTTTTTCAGTGTATATATATACACATTTCATAATTATACATTTTTTAAGTATCTATTTGAGTGTCAAACAATAATAATTTGTTGTTGTATCACAGCCCCAGTGGTCGAGCAGGTAAGACGCCCGTCACGGATTGAGGGAGGTCCCAGGTTCGAATCCTGGTTGGGGTAATATTTTTCGCAATAAAATTAATTTACAGGACGGGGAAAATGGGGGGAGGGAGGGGATTGAATGCTAAATATAGCATCAGAAAAATGCGAATTGCATTTGAAAAATAATCATCGAATCGAATACGTGAATCTGCTGACGACAATATTTCCACGTATATGATAAACTGCGTTATGTCCGGAAAAGAAATCGGCGCGTAGTACTAATGTGGAAAGAAACGGTATATAGATTCACGATTTTCAGAAAGATTTAAGATTTACAAGTTGGGCTACCTACATCTTGCCTTGCGACCCACATTGGCGTGTTACCATATATTGTTTAATAATAATTTGTTCAAGATTGTTTTAACGTTGCAGCAATATAAAGAATTAATGTATAAACATTAACCCAGATTCAACGTAGAAATGATATTTATACTTCAACATTCAACATTACAACGTTCCAGCAACATTATTTTAACTTTCTGTGCTGTATGGGTTAGCTTCCCACCGTGTCTCGTCTTCTACGTAAAAGTTTTTTTTTCATCAACGCCACAGCCGGAGCCGCGCGTCGGAGACCTGGAGATCAGAGATCGCGTTAAGCCTCTGTAATCTGTAACCGAGAGCGAAATAAAGAGAATAGCACGATCATATCGCATTGCATTTCATTTCTTTTCCCCGTCCTCCCCCTCGTACCCCACGTCACTCGTGCTGTCGACTGTCGAGACGCTAGTTTCAAGTCGCTTGTCTTCTCCGGCCTCGCGTCTCGTCGATACGTCGATTCGCCGTCTCTCCGCCGTCCCTGAGATCTCGGCGAGGCGCGCGCGATACCGCGAGGCCTCCCTCCGCCAGGCGGTATTGTCAAACGTAGAGACACATCGTTGAATATTTTATTGTCGCAAGTTCGGGCGCCGCGTCGCGACGCGCCACCACCGTTCCTGGCGATGACGTCGGAGGAAGATCGGCGCCGCGACGCGCAGGAGGAGGACGATCCGTCGTCGGCGGCGGCGGCGGCGGCTGAATTCTCTCGGTCGCGACATTCCGCATTTTTGTCGGCTGCTCTTGGTGCGCCGTTTCTCTCTCTCTCTTTCCTTCTCTCTCTACACCTTGGCTATAAGGTTGCGCCTCGTTATATTTCGAGCGTGCTCTATGTTTAGATCAGCTGCCCCTATATCGCGCTCTCTTTCTCTCTCCTTTGCGCGCACCACACACACACGCACGCACACGCGCGCACATACACACGCACCCAGCCACATACAAGTATACACGTACGTAAAATATATACGCGTACACAATTGCGAGCCCTCTCTCATCCCCCCGGTGTCGTTCTCCTTCTTTTTCTTTCCGCTTTCTCTTACTACGCCCCTCCTGAGGCCGGGGCGCTACAGAGGGGTGCTTTGCGACCACGCAAACCTGAGGAAAAAATTCGTGCGGTTATTTCAGGTAAGTAACTCTCGCAGAAGGCTGCGCGCCGTTGCCTCAATTAATGATAAATCTCTCCGAGATATCCGAGAGCTACCCTCTCTCCCCCTCGCCGCTGTACCGAAACGGAGTCGCGGGGCTGCGGCCGCGAAGAAAGAACGGACTCCCGCGCGAAGGGACGGCAAATTCCGATTGTCCAATCCCCCATCCTCCCCCACTCCTTTCCGCGGGGATTTAATTGCCTCCGCGGTTTAATCGCGAGGAATACTTGATGACGCGGCTTGTTTATTTCATTCCTTTTATACCTCACGTCACAATACTCCCTCGTGCGTCCGTCCTTCTCCTTCGCTCCTCTTTTTCCCTCCGATTTTTCTCTCCCGCGGGCGTCTCGCATCCGTCGATCCCGAGGGATTTTTATTCCCGAGAAATAGATTCCGCTCTTTTCTCTCTGGCGTATGCACGTACGGTCTTTTCTCTCTCCCTCTCTTTCTCTCTCTCCTTCACGTACACAGGCGCACTTTTTGCCGCGTACGCCGCATAAGCACGGAAGGCGGGCGAACACGCGAGGCGATGATCCGCCGCGCCGTCCCGCGGGCGTCCTCGCCCTCCGTTCGACGGTGCACCGTCGGCGCGTGTCGCTGCACCGTCACGTCGACTGACGCGCGCGACGCGCGGAGACGCTCGATCGAAGACACCCTCGCGTGATCCTGGATCTCCCCGGTGTTAAATGCCGGCGGCGGGAACGATCGCTCCCGGACGATCGCGCGAGGGTGAGACCGGGGGGCGCGACCCCCGTCTGGCGAAATGTTAACGGGCCGCTAGCGGTCCGTCGGTGGAACGCTCATTGGTGTCCAAGGGCGTCCAAGGGAGTTTTTCCAAGGGGGAGGGCATGATTAAAAAAAAGGTTACTCCCAGAATTAAATTACTCATGAATTTGATTTCGTACGCCTTTTGATGTGCGAGTCTCTTTTAAAGGAGGAGCGAATGTTTAACTCTTTACTTATTCAGGGTGTCTACTCATTTCTCGGATAAAAAAAATTTCCCGAGAACCTCCTGATTTTCCCAGTACTTTCATTGCAGACGAAATTATAATTTTTGTGGAAGTTTGAAATAAACTCAATTACGAGAAAACTGAGAATTGTGAAAATTTTCATACAAGAAAAATGGGCTTTTTACATTTAAAATTTTGGTTTTCTTATTTCGTAGAGATACAAGAAAACAAAATTTAAAGATGCTCGGAAGCATTAGTTATACATCTCCTCGAACACATTTCTAAATTTTCTGCCACTTTGTTAATAACTTAATTGTTACATTTTCGATTGCTCACGAAATATTATACAAAGTAGAGAGACAAAAATTATAATTTTTTATGCAAGTTTAAAATAAATTCAATTAAGAAAACATTTTTAAACAAGAAAAATGGTTTTTACATAAAAAATTTTGGTTTTCTTATTTCGAAGAGCTACAAGAAAACAATTTAAAGATACTTGGAACATTAGTTATATCTCCTCGAACACATTTCTAAATTTTCTGCCACTTTGTTACAAACTTAATTGTTACACTTTCGATTGCTCACGAAATACAAAATGAAGAGACAAAAATTCCTTGATAATTCGTTGATTTCCCCGAGACGAGAAGGAATTTCAGATGTTCCAGGATTTTTCCCGTAGACACCCTGTAATTCCAGGAGGGAGGGTGAGAATGCTCCCCTTTTCGCCCTCCCCTCTGGACGCCTCTGTTCGTGTCAACCGCGTTCGCTCGTCGAGCTCGCACTTTTTGCCTACCGATTCTTCGCAGCGTTTTCGGTGTAGCTCGACAGCGCATTGCCAGCGGAAACCAAATAGAATCTGTCGTTTAAAGGGGATATATCTTTTAAACGGTTACGATATGGATTCCACTCGGCTCTTGCAGTCAATCCGCCGTCATGTTCGTCGCGTAACAAATTCCATTGTATTTCCGTTCGCGCTCTGACGACGAGATAGATTTTCCGCACGTTCGGAAAACACTGTGCTATCCGTGTTTTCTTTATTCGCTCTGGAAAGAAGAGAGACTCGCGGTACCTTTAATTTCTTAAGAGCTAATTAATTTTCTCCTCGTTATAGGATACAATCGGAAATGTTTCCAATCACTAGAGAATCCGGAGACAAACGAAAGAGAAAGGAAGAACGAACGGCCGCGAA